AGCCAGAAATCTTGCTTGTTTGTAGGTGACCAAATACTTATTTTCCACCATTATTTGCAAAAAAATTCTTTAAAAGTCAGACAAAATGATTTTCTCAATTTTTTTTTTCACATTTTGTCTTTCATAGTTGAGGTCTACCTATGGTGTCAATTACAGGCCTCTCTCATCTTTTTAAGTGGGAGAACTTGCACAATTGGTGACTGACTAAATATTTATTTTCCCCACTGTATATACTATACAAAATGCACAATCTGATCTAAATCAATATAAACTTTTTTCCAGAAGACACTGTGGACTCAGAGGAGACTGTGACTGAAATACACAAGGATGAAAGTGGATTTTTCACAAATGGAGTTTTTTACATGGGGTGTATTTTCTCTCTAATGAAGAACAAAACTGCTGAGTGGAGCACTGTGGTAAGTCTGCAATTATATCTACTCACTTGTATTCTTTGAGTGGCATGCGCTGAACTGAGGTCTTGTCTCAAAGGACACATATCATGCTTTAAATCATTTTTCACGTTTCAATCATTCATTTGGGGTCTATAGTGGAACTGCATTGCTTTGGTCTGAATTCTTCCTTATTTCAACCCCACAAATCTTTCTTTCACCCCTTTTTTGATGACTCAAAAATATGATATATTTGCAGAACCAAGGAAAACTAAATAAAAAAATTCTGCACTCCTACAGACTCCAAGTACACAACAAAATRTATTTAACAGCTAAAAAAGTGGGTTTTACATGACATGTCCTTATATAATTTATAGGGATGTTGACATTTCATCAGCAGCTGCTGCCATTTTCTTCCCAAACTGCTGTGACCAGATTTTACCAGGCTGCTCTGTGCGTTTGCTTGTTATTTCCTCCTYCTTCATTATTTCTATAAATTTCGACAAACTGCGCTGACGTCAGGTAGTTAGCTACAGCCTAGTCTTCGAGTTTTTAATTTTTGTTGATGTTTTGAAGAGACAATTTTTTGAAACTAGGATCGAAGTAAATCACCCGAGTTTTTCTAGTGAACCTTACAGAGATAAGCTGTCATGAAGATTATTTTATCTGCCCTTGATCTAAATTTGATAATGATTTGAAACGTCAAAGTATGTTTTTTTTAAACCTGGAATAGCGCTTGTTAGCAAAGTGTGTTGACCCTCGTCTTCGTCACCTGACACATTTAACACGCTGTCATTGGTTGAAGAGCTCTGTTTACAAAACACATGTCCACATGGTTTTTAAATTGTTTTAATTCCCTTGCTTTCTAAGACACATTAAGTTGATGTGATGCTGCAGTTTGCCTTGTAATATTATTTTATACTCGTTCTGCTACATTTGCATTGGCTATTATTAAGTTTGATTAGTTTTTAGGATACAAGACGCTTCCTACAAAAACCAGAATGTGAATCTTTTCCTAAAATTTCATGGCGATATCTTGAAAACTAAGTAAGTTATGAGCAAAAATAGATAAGAACAAGTTGAAATGATCCCATTGGTTCTGCTGTGAACTGCAGCAAGAAAATATGAGCTGATTTCACCTAAACAAACATCAATAACTTCCCTCATACTTGAGATCATCAAATGATTTTGATGTTATTTTGCATGGTTTGAAATGTTCTTTTGGAATTTAATATTGGTGCAGGATTTAAAAAATTATCCTCATCCCTATAGTGTAATGAAAACATCATTAGGCACAATATGGAGATTCAGAAACTTCTATCCATGTTGCTTTGAGGACATCCTGTCAAGTTACTACAAGTTAAATGTAAATAATGTGATAGCTCAAAGATGGTGGATATTTTTGTTATTATCTAATAATTGTAACTGTTATACAGTTACAGTCTTGCTTTTATGGTTTGTGGTGCTTTTGCAACAGATTTTGCGTCTAGTGCGGTCCTATTTTTTTTTTTTTTTTGAACGCATCACAGCATTACTATGGTTTTTTTCTTTAAAAGGGGAACTTCCGATTCCCCCTGAACGTCGCACCGCCCGCCCCCAGTGGACTACGCCGTGTCGGCTGAAGTTCAACACAGCCGGTGCTGAGCTGGCTGTTGTCTGACAACCGAGGACCTTTATATAGRAAGACAAATCTCCTGAAACATCGTCGTATTATAGACTTTTACCTGTCGTAGTATTACTATTGTTTTGCTTCTCGTTTTTTAGTAATTTCTTGGATATATTTTAGCTCACAGCTAAGCTAAGCTAATGTTTATTGTGCTTTGGTAGCGGCGCGGTAGTGAATGACGGCTGACTTAGCAAGCTGTTGTTGTYGTGTCTTACTCCGCATCTGCCTCGGTTGTTTTAATGTTTGCAGTGTTTATAGGGGCTTAATATTAGCTTTCGGACAGATAATACTTTAAAGCCACAGCCCACCTTAGCCGTGTAGCCTACTTTGAAGCTAGCTAACCAGTAAACAAACGAGCTATCTGTATTAGCGGCTAGCTTATTCATCTTGTTTTTAACATGGAGAGTGAGATACTATCCAGACCTGCTGTGACGGAMCCAGAACACCTGTATGTGTTCTTTCTAAAGGAGATGCAACATGTAAGTGAATATTGTGTTAAATCTACCCTTGATGCTCAGGATTACTGATGCCATGGCCTGCTGACGTGTTATATGGCTAATAGAAACAAACCTGCAGGTTTTTGCAGCTTAATAATTAACTTTATAAACCTGTTGCTGGCTGTAGAAATGTTTCATCTAGCCTCTGACATCTTTTATGAGACTGCTTTCTTCTAATTGCATTACTTCTTTTCTGAGTTTGATTGCAGYAGTAATAATTTGGACATTTAGACTAATATTGCACCAGCTGTAAAGAGGATGTTGGGCTCTACAGGAAATGGTAATTTAACTGCCACGTATGATTTGATTAGTTGGGGTTTATGACAAAAAAAAACATTTATTTTTGCTGTACTCATGTTGTATAGAACTGACTTTTTATTCCCTTTGTTTGCTTATCTTTGGTAATGCTCTTAGTAAAGTGATAACATTATGAGGTAATGATGTGTTTGGGGTAAAGACCTGCTTGTGGTGAATTGGTCTTTGGCTAAAGACTAAACTTTAGTCTAAGAAAAATTTGTTTGTGGTGAAAACTTGGTTTGAGGTTCTTAAGTAACTTTTTAATGTTATTTATTTACGTTTGTCCCTCTTTATTACCTGTGTTTTTCAGATTCAGTCCATTAAAAGAATGACATGGGGTGTTTGTTTAACTTCTTACTCTTAAATACAAACTTGTTTTTTTTGTTCTTCAGATGATTTCTTTGCTGCCGGAGGAGTGGAAGCCAGGGGAAACATTGTTTGGCTGTCCTTGGCCAGCTGTTGTCATCACTGCTGTGGTCGGAGTGCTGACCTTCACCCTCTTCTTCTGGAGGACTGTATTGGCTGTAAGTGTTGTGATGTTGCTGCTTTTTCAGTTCTTGAGTATATTCTTTCAATTTAAATTTAAATTATAAGACATGGTCTGTATCTATGTTGGAACTGATTAACATTCAGGTTCAGCCTGAAAAAATGACATAAATATGCAGCAACTATCATTTAAAACTGTCTTCATAATTTATCACATTAATGGTTACTTGTTGGATTTTATATCAGGTTAAGAAGAAGGAGTACTTGGGTGAGTTTTAATTATTATTATTATTATTWTTACCTGCACTTTATTACAGAGTAAAACTGTGTAAAGCCTCTATAATTGTTTATTTTTCTCCTTGGGTGACAAAAAGTGGATGAAAAGAAACTCCAAGCTCAAATCCAGGCTCTCAAAAAAGAGAAGACGGATGCTCTAACCAAAATATCTGAACTCCAGAAGCAGGTGAGCTTCATGAGAAAATCTAATGTTTAATCTGTTTAACATAAAACAAACTAATTTGCTTTTTTTTCTCCAAGACCGAGAGGCTGAAAGAAAACCAAAAACAATCGAAAGAAACTGTCAGTTGTAGGATGAAAACCATACAAGACTTGCAGGTAAGCTTGAAGGAATCTGTTTAGTGACTCATTATATTGTCGTCAGTTTCACCTGTTAACTCAAATCATGAGTTCAGACATTTTAATCTCTCATCATTTTACAGAGCAAAGTGTCGGAAGCAGAAAAAGTCAATGGACACATTTTTGAAGAAAAGAATAAATATGCAAAACTGCTTGAAGAAGAGCGTGCCATGACTTTGGAAAACAAAAACAAGGTAACTTTTTATTGGTTTTGTTGTGTTTTTTTTTTTCTTTTTCCTGGGGTTCACAGTGCCTAACGTTTGTTGACAGATTGAAATATTAGAGAAGTCGAATGAGAAGTTGCAGCTCAGCAGGAAAAAGATTCAAGAAACATTGGCTAAGGTACGCCCTTTACACTGAATTAGCTTCACAGCGTCTGTTTGTCTCACAAAATAAAAAAAACCTTTTCTTGTCGCAGACCACCGTTCTCCTGGACGAGGCCAAGWTTCGCGAAGATGCACGAAACGCTCAGCAAAAATGTCTCCAGAAAGAATTCACTGCTATAAAAGAAGAAAACAAAACTGTAAGATGATACGTTGGGCTCGTTTGACCACTAAAACCTGTGTGGTAAAGATTTCTCCAGGCTCTTCTCTGACTTTGGACGTCTCTTGCAGCTGAAAGCGGCCATTAAGGACTGGGAGGGAAAACACAAGGAGCTGAACGAGAGGATTAAAGTTTATCAAAAGTCCCAAAAAGAGCTGGAGGACTCCGTGGTTCTCAAAGACCACAATCTGGAGGTCGGGCTTTTTAATTGTCCCGTTGTTTTTGAATTGGAAAAGCAAAACGTTGGTCACCCCAGGCAAAACGTTGGTTTTTATAGGTGCTGTCTGATCTCCTGGCTGATCTGGACGCCTGCGATCTGCAGAAAGGTGAAACCAAAGTTTTAGCAAACGGTGAAATAGCCACTGGTGAGTTTTTATTTTTTCAATCAGTCAGGAAAAAAAAAAAAACAACTCGTTCTGTTCTGTTTTTGTAACATCTTGCTGTTGAATGCAAAGTTTCTGATGGTCTTGCTGTGTGGTTAACAGATAAGAAGACTGTCATAAGAAGCAGAATCAGGCAGATGATGGACGTGTCCAGGGTAAGACCTACCCAACCTTATTTTTAATCATTACAGTTTTACTAAACACACATAAATGATAGGGGTGCAACAATATATGTACCCGTATCGAACAGTGCTTTATGTTCAATACACACTTGTATCGAACAATACAGATTTTTAAAATTTACTTTATCAACTTGTCTTCTGAAGATGCTCTGTGTTGAAGGATCAGTGGATCTGTGTTCGACTACTCCACCTAGGCTGTATTTTTGAGCACAGATCCACTGAGAAACTTGCTGTTTCAGCAACATTTAATTTAAAAACTGTACTTTTGAGGTTAAACAAATGTTCATAATTAATATAAATAAATTACAAGTTAAAAGGGGCAGGGACATTTCTTTTTTTTTGTGTCAAAAAAATATCGAACCGTGAGACTAAAGTATCGAAGCGAATCGTGAATTTTCTGTATCGTTGCACCCCTAATAAATGACTGGATGTGTATAAATGCCGTTATGTTTTAGGATTGTGTCCTGCTGAAATAAAATTCAAATTTCTGTTTTGTTTTTACAGATCCAGACCACTCTTGCTGTTGTTGAAGAGGAGCGGGATCGCTTCATGACCAAGTTACTTAATGAAGAGAAGTCCAGGAAAGAATTAGAAGGTATTTGTTGCTAAAAACAACATTTTAAAGGGGACATATTGTGCTAAATCCACTTTTTTAGCTGTTAAACACATTTTTTTGTGTGCAGAGAAGTTGAATTTAGTTTCTCCCGGTGCTGCGTTTTGAGTCATATTTTTCAACCCGTTCAGTTTTCTCTATTCTCTGACATTTTCTGAACTATTTCGTCAAATTATTTGTGACGGAACGTCTAAATGTCTGGACTCACCAACTACAATTTAATGGTCTTCATTCTCCTCTGGTTCTGGGTCAGACTCTGGCTCCAACATGTAATGCCAGGTTCACACGTCAGGATAATCRTGACGATTTTTGCCCTTCCGACAATCTTAAGGACGCTCAGATTATTATTGCCTAATTTCCCTCTGGGATCAATAAAGTATTTTTGAATTGAATTATCGTGATGCTGTAAAGATGAGCTTAGCAGATCTTCCTGCCGTGTGTGGTGAGTTAAAAGGGAAAAGTCTCGTTTTGGATTTAAAGACACAGCCTCAAAACGAGTTGATCTGAGAGGCAGTTCAGAAAAGGGGCGGGGCTTGTGGAGTTGCAATAAGGAGGAATTCAGACCAAAGCCTTGCAGTTCCACTTTATATAGACCCAAACTGAAGGGTTTAAATGTGAAAAAGAGAGATTTAAAAGTAGGATTTCTTCTTAAAAACATAAATAATAATTCTTGGATTGTGATGTTAACAAACCTTTGACTTTGTTTGGCTGCAGAGAAACATCAGGAACTGGAACATGCAATCGGTTCCCTAAAAAGTGAGAAGAGCCAGGTGGAAAACCAGTTCAAGCTCCTCCAGCAGAAAAATGAAATTATGGTTGAAATGTATCAGCAGAAGGAAAACGCACTGCAGCAGTAAGTAAAAGCAGAAGTCTCCGTTCCACAGAAATACTCTGCTGAGGTGTAAGACGGTTATTGTTCCTTTAATGGAATGTGTTTATTGCCTCGCAGGAGGTTAACGAAGGAGGAGCTGGAGCGACGCAGCAAAGAAAGCCTGCTGTCTGAAGTTGGAGGTAAAGCTCTCGAAGCGGAGGAGCAGGTGAAAATCTTAAGGCAGCGCATCAGTGAGATGGAGGAGCAGATGAAGAAGACCGAAGACGTCTATAAAGAGCAGGTAGAGTCGCAGTCGAATCATTCATTTAGGAACAGCAAAACAGGGAAAATCTGGTGTAAAATTTTGTTTGTTTTTGTTTTTAGATAAAAGAGCAGGAAAACAAAACTCACTCCAACTGGGTAGGTTTTATCATTTATTCACGTTTAGCAATAAATAGGCCTTTGTTGCGCTAATTTTACCTGTTTGCAGGTAAATGCTCGTAACGCAGAGCGGGCGCTCAGTCAAGAGAAGCTTGAGTCGTCAAAACTGCGTGAAAAGTGAGTCCTGGTTCAGTCTGCTGGTCTGAGTTGTTTTAAACACGACCTCCATCAGACGTGTGGGATAAACTTTGTGTCAGCAGGAACTGAATTTGAATTGCTCAGATTGAATCTGAATGTGTATAATTTAAATTGAATGTATTGGTTTGAAAATAAATTTCACTAAATTGCAACTAATTTTAAAGTTTTGAATTAATTTGCTTTGAAACTGTATTTTGGTTTATTRAAAATTCAGTTTGACTACTTTCACTTTCAGTTCCATAATTCAGATKTTTGTGTCACATCCTGGTCCTTGAGAAAGCCAGGCAGAGTAATCAAACACAGATCCACAGATTTATGTTTCACTTTGGTGAAGTTTCCCTTCTGGATGTAACAGAGTTGATGCAATCCACTGTAAAAGTGACAAAAACACACAAAGTTATTTTATTGTAGTGATTAATTTGACCTATATGTAGAAAATGTTAAATTTACATGATGACATCATGGATCACATGTTGATCAGATGCTGCTGCTGACTGATCCATGATGTCATGTAAATGTAACATTTTCTACATATATGTGGCGACACTAGATGGAAACTCAGGTTTTGTGAAAGTTTAATTTTAGTAAGTTGCTCAACAACGCCACCCTGGGAATTTCACCCAGAGATTATTACCTCTTGTTCAAGGCACACAGGTTCAATTATGCAGGGATTAAAACATCTGAGACAGTTTCTAACTTATAAAAAACATTTATTGAATTATTCTAAAAATTGTCTTAAAACCAATTTCTTTTTAAAAATGAAACTAAAAAGAAATCAACAAAAACAGAAGAAAATAGAAAAAGCTTGCAGCAGCTGAGGTTACCGGCCGGAGAGGACGCTATGGGGACGACCTCCACCAAACACAGTAAATCAAAATAAAACCTTTAACACCAGATGCAGTGAAACACCCCAAACTCAAGAATCACAGCACACAGACGAGGAAGACACCGTCATCACACCGCCACCGGACCTCAGTGACTGCAAACAAAGAGAAAAAAAACAAACAATTAACCAATATAACAATATCAAAAAAAAGGACAAATCAGCCCGACTAGAACAAACAAAAAGGGCTGTAAACAAAAGTAAAAAATAAAAATAAAAATCAGACAATACAAGTTAACATTAAGTCCAGGCGTGGCCCTGCCACGCTACAGCGGGAGATGAAACGGGCACGCCGATGCCACACCCCAAACACCGCTTTACTGAGGGCGGATAACGCCGCCGCAGTCCAACTTTAAAAACAATTGTGCCGAAATCCGGGAGATAAATGTAGACAGCAGCAGAGCAAAGCAGAACAGATCCGGAAAACGGATGTAGACAGAACAGCAATGGTTCAACTGTGGGGGACCTATAAAAAATATGTGTCACCATTTTAAATAAAAGTAAGAAATTGGAGCTTAGATAAGTGTTAATTTCTTACCTGCTAATCCACACAACATGCACACACTCGCAGACCGAGGAAGAAGAGAAYGCAGCGCAGTGGCGTTTTACCTATGATCACACTTCAGTTTAGATTTTCTGACCAAGATTAGCTAAAGTGCAGAGAGAGAGAGAACACCTACCACCAGAACATCAGCGCAACATGCACCAGCCAGCGATTTGTTACTTTCTGCTGCCAGAGTCCAGACGCAAGCCACACAGTGGGAGAACAAAGATGACACATTCCTGAATGAGCGCCGCAGCTCCCCTATATACACCACGCCCACTTCAAGAACCGGAACTTCTCACCTGGAAACTATTTGTGTGGAATTAGGTATATTTCTATATCACTACATATAGGTCAAATTAATCACTACAATAAAATAACTTTGTGTGTTTTTGTCACTTTTGCAGTGGATTGCATCAACTCTGTTACATCCAGAAGGGAAACTTCACCAAAGTGAAACATAAATCTGTGGATCTGTGTTTGATTACTCTGCCTGGCTTTCTCAAGGACCAGGATGTGACACAAAAATCTGAATTATGGAACTGAAAGTGAAAGTAGTCAAACTGAATTTTTAATAAACCAAAATACAGTTTCAAAGCAAATTAATTCAAAACTTTAAATTTAGTTTCAATTTAATGAAATTTATTTTCAAACCAATGCATTCAATTTCAAATTCTGCACATTCAGATTCAATCTGAGCAATTCAGATTTAATTCCTGCTGGCACAAGATTTATCCCACAAAACTGTCCTGAAAGAASTGATGTTAAATTTTCTCATCTTCATTTTCCTTTCAAACTTTACGGTTTTACAAGCAAAAAGCTGCAAAACAACTTTAAATTACTCAAATCCACACATAAGAGTGATTTAATGTATGTTTTAAATCAATTTGAGTGTTTTAATCTTTCCAGCAGGTTGTTTTCCTTCGCCTGAGTTGTACCGTTTGTGTTTTCTGTCTGTTTTCAGGTTAGCTGTTCTCTCCTCACAGCTTAACGAGCGCCGCGCTCCTCTCTTCAGGCCGAACTCCGGTCAGCCTGCAGGTCCCCGCCAAGGTAAGAGCACACYGACGCCCCCCGTTGTGTCGCTCGTTTTATTTTGAAACAGGAACCTTGTTGGAGAGCCTGGGACGAGGACACCACACTGTGTTTTGTTGCCAGCAGTGAGAGTTTTGTGCTTTTGATAAATGGGTGGTTTGATTGCAACAGGTGATTCATACGGGCCCTCTCCTGTGAGTGGGGGTGCTCCATCCCCTCCTATAATGATCGAGGGTCCCAGGCGCCCTCCTTCAGCCCCAGTCGGGCGAAGAAGTGACCCGTATGGTGAGTCCAAGTGGATCTCTTCACCTCCTTCAGTTTGTACCAAAGCTGGACATCATCTCTTCTCTACAGCTCTTTTAAAGTCTCTTTTTGTCTCCACACCTGATTTCTTTTCAGCTCTGTCCCCTTGACATTCATTCTTTATTTTTTATTTGTGCATATTGCACACAGTGCTTACTTCCTCTTTGTCTTATTTTTTCTTTCAGTTGAACTGAAAATAACATTATTTTGTTTTTGTTTGACCATCTGTGTATTAAAGGCTCTAAGGCTACTTTCACACTGCTGGCACATGTCACCCAAATACGATTTAATTCTTTTTATTTTTTGCCTCTATTCAACCATATTTTTTCATCAACAACAAATCTAACCCAGGTCTTTTCAGTATGTGGTGCTAAATCAAAAACATGTCTGTTTTTCAAAGCTCGTCATTTCATCTGACTTTTACGTCAGAGAGGTGGGGGTACACGGATCGGTTCAAGTGATAATGACACTAAACTTTAGTCGTGCAGTTTAAATCTTGTAGCTTCACACGTTTTTAGCTACAGAAGTCCCATTGCTTTGTCTTTTGTTTATTTATTTTCCATGTCCTGGATGACAGACTCTAAAAAAAAAAATAGGATGGCAACGTCTGTTTTGGACTGCAGCCTCTCTGGTGCTAAGGCCAGCTTATCCATGCTAGTCGCTAGCCTCTCTGGTGCTAAGGCCAGCTTATCCATGCTAGTCGCTAGCCTCTCTGG